ACTGAGTGTATTTTTATTATTTTTGTTTCGTTACACGATATATTAACAATTCTAATGAGATGTTTATATAAATATAATCCTTATACTATTTTGTAATGAACCAAATAACGAAGATGCATCGACTCTTATATTATTTTGATTTGTCTACACAATATACAATATTTTGTTTAACTTAATTACACACTTCATATGTTTTTTGTTTAAAATATTACACTTATATCTCATCAGAGGTGATCAGTGTAATATAAGTACAAAACTAGAGGTGATTCGTGTAAAGATAAAAAAATAAGGGGTAATTTGTGTAATTTCACTAAAACTCAGAGGATGTCAATGTAATTAACTCAAAATATAAAGTATAATCTTATTTACAAAATTAAATAAAGTAAAGATTTATGGGCTTCACAAGATACTTTCAATTTGGGCCTCATTATTATTGAAGTGTTAGGCCTAAGTTATTGCCCTCACTTGGGTTTATTTATAATTTCAGCCCAATGATATCTATTGCTTCACTTAAGCTCATGGTTATGCTGATTTCTTCCTTCTCAATATCATTGTCACCGGCTCATGAATCACCTCATTCATTCAAATCCTTACCAATTTTCTTAAGGATTTTCACCTGCATGTACACATTAGATGTCCCCCACCAAGCAAACTAGTGAGAATAATGTAAAATTCACAATTTTAGAATTCGAACCTCTAGACTTATCAATAGATTAAAGTGATATAGAGGAATCGTTAGTGGTTATGGTGGAGGGTGAAAGGAAGGTTAATGGTTCAAATTTCGCTTATTAAAAATAATAACATATTAACATTTGTATATATAAATTTATTCTACATCTTAGTCATCAATTCTAGGAAATCTAATTATTTAGATTTACTCACTAATCTAAACCATTGGATTTCCTAGAATTTATGGTTATGATATGGAGTAAGTTTTTAAACTTACTCTTGGAGTAAGTGAATCTCATCCCAAAAATTAAAGTAACAATTTCAGAATTCTAACTAGGGGTGAGCATGGGCTGGATTGGATCAGATAAGGTTTGTCCCTTACCCAACCTCAAATATCGGTTCATTTTTTTGAACTCGGACCCGACCCAAGGCTAACCTTACACCAAATATCAACTGAAACAATATGTATATATAATGAATATGTAATTTGATATATGAAATAATATGTATATATAATATTAATCATGTATATTTGATGAAAAATTAGAGGATCATTGATTAATTCGATATTTTACTTAGTATTATGAATATGTAATTTGATATATGAAATAATATATGTATATTTGATGAAAAATTAGAGGATCATTGATTAATTCGATTAAAGCGATGTCATTACTCTATACACAACTGAATATAGACACATACAAACATGAATACTTCAAAATCAATTATTTAAAATATGGTGATGATAAAATTACGACAACTAACTACAAGTTATATATCTATAATGTGTACATATAAATGTTAGATTCTTTATATTGCTAAATTAATTTGACTAATTTGATCGGTAAAATTCATTTTTTCGAATATTCATTTATGAAATGGATACTTGAATCCAAAATTTTGCAAAAATAAACATCTCAACCAAAAGAATCAGAAAGCCTTTTTTGTGTGTGAAGATCACAACTATAGTAGAAGCAAAAAAGTCATGGCAATCTGAGTAAGAGTGAAGTCACTATTAAATTTGTTTATTCGTTCTTGAGTTATGACTTATTGCATGGGATCCTCATCTAAATGGGATAGCAAAGATCAAATTAGATTTTATAAATGCTCATGATTTTGACCAAATCCTAACATATCTGTACGGTGGGACTGCTGATTTTGACTTTGTTTGGAGTCTTGACAAAAGGTTAGTGAAGAGTAGGATTATGATCAAATCACCATCTTGTCATAAACATGCAAATCAAACCCAACATTTGCTGCATCACCATAATAATATATACATTATATATGGGGGTAAATGGACAAATGGTTTATGGGTAAGAAGGATTAATTATCATAATATATAAATGTCATTTTTTTATAGACAAATACTAGTATGTTAGTATTTTATTGTAGATAAGATTTCAACTCTTAACCTATTTATCACTTCATTCATTAAGTTATCACCTTATGACTTCCATGCAAATGTCATTTTTAACCAAATAATAAATTTCCTTCCATATAGAGAGACCAAAGATGACATCATATTTATATTTATATATTAGAACAATATTTGATATGTGTAAAAGAACAGTTTCCCTCCGGAAATAGTAATCAGCAATATGATGAATCTATGATGCTCCTCACACGTCACGGGAAGGGTCGATATATATATATACAAAAAAAAAACATCACCTATTTTTTTTCTTTCAATCTTTTAATATGTAGTAGTATATTATCCTAATAGGAAGAAGACAATATATCATAAAAATCATCTGAGTTTAATTTAGGTCAACGGCTACCATCTTGTAATTGCACCTCTCTAATCTTCCTCACCTTGGCCAGGGAAAAAACTAAAGGTCCAATTGATTTCTCTAAAAACAATTTCTGTTTCATTTATCATTATTAACTATTATCATATTATTATGCACCTTGTATTTCTGTTTCATTTTTATCATTTTGTTAATTGGTGTAATGACCTAATAGCTTTTATTTCTTTATCTTCTTAAAATGTCCTAGAGCATCCTTTTATAAATAAAAGACGGTTATTATTTATAATTTTGTTTTCACTTTTAAATGGGTTATTTTAACTAATTAAGTATTAAAAGGAATAGATAGTTGGAGGAAACATCAGCTCTATCTATACATATAGGTGGGAATAGATGATTGAAATGAAAGCAAACTCAGAAAGGGTAATAGGCCCTACTTGAGTTTGCACCTTCAACAACTTAGCTGCCTTCTAATGAAGGATTCCTTTCATTAATTCGGTTCTGACCCCTCCCTCTACCACTCTCTATCATTCTCATTATATTCTTCTTACACTTAAATATCATCTACTCCTATATATCACACAACAAAAATATATTTTATATATATTCAAGTATGTCATCAATAGTAAATACAACACAAACTCACCCCTCAACCCTCAAACGGTACATAATTTTATAGTTATATATGTGCATACATTATTTATGGTCCATAAATTGATTTTGACGTCCTGATATATAGATATTAGAGACTTTAATTAATAAGCATTTTAAGACAAAATGCTTTAGGCTGCTAATTGTTTACCCTCTTTATATATCTGCCCTCAACAATAATCTGCTAATTAAAAATTCAGTGTAATACACATACATTATACATTTAAACATATATGCTGAAATTATATCTCAATTACTCTAAAACGCTTTAGGACAGTATGCCTTTGCTTCCTATCTTTAAGTAAATTAATACACCTAAGTGGTAGATGGTATATTGCCATGTCAAAACTTTACACCTATAATCAATAGATATTAAATTCATAATAATTAATATAATAAAAATTTATGCACTGAAACCATAGAATTCTTTTTTACACTATATACAATTAATTATTTACGAATCTTAAATTTATTTAAGAGTTAATAATGATTAACATATAAATGATGGATGTGGTAATAATATTATAAACTTTATACCGTAAATATAAAAAACCTTTGTGTGGATAAATACATTATTTTCTCATTAAAATGGTGATATGGTTAGTGCAATATAGCCTATCTGATACGGTTAATTTAACTGACTGATGATGCTTATATGCATTAATATTGTAATTTTTTTGGTCAGCAAAGAAAGTATATTAATAATTAGGATAAGAATGTACAAGCATTAATATTGTAATTATATGCATTTTTTATCATATATATATATATATATATATATATATATATATAAAAAGTATTAAACTGGATATCTATTGAACTCTCTCTCAAGGAGGAAGCATAAAATGTTTTGATTCCAGGATTACTCTTGTTTATTCAAATTAATATGTTTCTTTAGAAATATATATTATAAAGATATATTTAGAAAGAGGAAAGCGACAACAAAATCTACATCTGAAGGTTAGTGTCAAGCAATTAACATGTGGTATTCTTAAATCTACATTCTTACATTGATTTGTAGTTAACAATAGCCATACGTATATATATGTCACTGATCAGTCACTCGTTTTGATTTTTTTTATTAAAAAAATACTCTTACAAATAGAGTGGACTAGAAAGATAATGCTTTTATGAAAATACCAATTGACTGAATAGAGAAAAATAATGAATCTCAATAATTAAGGATAATCCGAAAAAATAACATCCACTTGTTGATAAATTTAATCAATATTACGGACTATATCACACCAACATCATTAATTCATGTGAAATTAATAAAAAAATCTTAGCACTCACGATATATTTATATGAAGTGGTCTTAAATTATATTTTGTTCAACAGTCAAATGTAATAATACATGAACTCACAGAAGATTGTAGAACAAGATGATTTTCATTTTGCTGTTCTGTTGGGTATTGGTTGCTTAATTTTGATTAGCGAGGTCAATTATATAATATAGTTAATTAACAAGGTCAACTGTATAATATAAACCAACTAAATTAATGATTTGTAATTTGATTGTGTAGGAAAATATATGATTATTCTGCTCTAAAATGTTTGCATATGATATAAGTATACCTTCTACATTGCCTTTGATGATTCCTTAATTTATTGGCGGTGGGAATTGAGCCTAGCTACAACGTTATGGTTGGAGCTGATCTTACAACTGCAATATAATTGGTGTATTTTTTTCACAGTCATTATTTGTAATACATAGAACACAATCACAAGTAGTACAATAGTAACCATGGGGGAATAATAAGCAGGATATATAAAATGCATGTACATATTTGTGAGAAACAAAATCATAGAAGAAGATAAAGGAGATATAGTTATCTATAAAGGAAAGAGAAGAGAAGGATTGAATAATAGATACCTGGCCTGGATTTGAGAAATGGGTAAGTAAGTAGGTGGAGATGGAAATAAGTGGAAAACAAATAAGATATTGACGCGGCTCAATTAAAAGTACATGGCTATTTTTCATGATATAATCATGTCTTCAAATTGAGGCACGCCAATACCTTAATTCATTTGTGCTTCATATAGCAGCACACTTCTTCCATCGCCACGTACACCTCCATACACACACACATATATATATATATATTTGATTTATTTGGTCCTTTTTCCTATTAATTAGTTGTCGATGGATAATCTTTCAGAGAAAGCAAAGGAGATAGATGATAGAAGGGGTATGGGGTATGGGGTATGGTTGGTTGATGTAGAATGATACATGAGAAAAGCATATGAGATGTTGAAGATGGCTGCAACCACCATTCTCCCTCTACAGATATACTTCTTCTATTTATTTGCAGACTATGAGGAAGCAAACAACCAAATAGGTGAGTTCAATGTACTACTTTATTTAATTCACACAAATATTTAGGTGATTTCAATTTTCATCACTCTTCAAAATTAATTTTTAATTAAAGTATCATTTCATTTGATTGGAAGCCCAATTAATAATAATTAATTTTCAAGAAATATATATATATATATGCCGACATTATAAATTTTTTATATATTGTCATTGTATTATTCACTATTCATATTTAATTATTATTAACTCTTCAAACAAATAATACAAATGAATCGCGGATAATATACTGATTATGTACAAATTTTTACACTCACAACACATATATATTATATTCTTAATTTTACTCTATTTCAACAAAAAATACTTAAATGAAAACCACAAGTGTTTGTGCAGACTAAACCTGGTTTACCGAAGAAAAGTTAAGAGGAGAAAATAAGTAAAAAATATGGTAATTATTAGTTGTTTAGTATAATAAAAAATGGAAAAAAAAGCGAAAAGGATCTCATCATATTATTATATTGATTTGCTTTCTTGAGTGAGTTTTCTCCTAATAATGGAGAAAAAACATAAATTCAACAATTATTTTATCGTTATATAAAAAGGAATCAAGGCAATAAAAATAATTTTAATTTTTTTATACATCTAAATAATATCTTATCAAAAGGTTAAAAATGTAAGAAATAAATTAATTATTTTAATATAGTTGTAATTTGACCTATATTATATTTAGTATAAAAGAAAATGAGTGGAACTAAAGTCTAAGAAAAGAAAGATAATAAAAAATTGATTTTTTAAGAGGGCAATATATATGCTAATAGTATAAGTGCAAAGATTTATACACAGTAGGTATATTATCTATAATTTATTTGTATCATTTTTTTTGAAGAATTAATGATGAATAATACAGTGATAATGTATAAAATTATATATGACCATAGATATATTTTTTATTTTTTTAATTGTATGATATGAAAGAATTAAAAATTATATAGTAGTGAATTGAAAAATGTTCAACAAGAAAAATAAGCTTTATTAATATTATGTTTAAAGCAAACATAAATTTTCTATATATTTTCTCTCCATGTGAGAATGGAAATTTTTAATGGCGTATTACCATTTACCAAAAAAATGGCGTATTACCCTTTTTTCTCTCTTTCTTTCCCTTGATTTCTTTCTAAGCAAATGGTAAAAAAGAAAATATGATGACCATGAATTTAGAGGGAAGGTTCTTATTGGAATTTCATGTTGATGGATACCTCTAGTACATATACATATTAATTAAGTTGTTATGAATCACACCCACCATTATTATGGACCACTGACAGCAGAGCAATGCCTTTTAACAGTTGGAGAATATGAAATTTAATGCATGAATGGTTTATCTACCTACACTTTTTATTAGTCAATTTTATAAATAATGTATAAATTAATAAATATATAATGTGAATAAATAATTAAGAATATCATAAGGAATGGAAGGAGTAATGTTTTTACAATATTAATGACTGAATTTCTTCCGTGGGCACCATTAATTAGGTTTGTGTTAGGTATAGAATAGAAGATCTCGAGCCTGTACTCTTGGGAGTTTCGCCCTCAAACTTGAGTTCTAACAATATACCACTTTATTCAAAATGGACAAGACATCCTTAACTTAACAACATAGAGAAAGGACAAGCTGTCCTATATAGTTTCACACTCAAATCATTTTCTACTGTGATATCACCAACATGTAGGGATTCAAAATATATCTTGATGTGTTTCATTTTCTACTTGAATCCAACTATCTATAAGTCAACAGCATATATGAACCAAAGATAGAAAATAATGTAGTATAGATGGCTACCAATATACCATTTACACTCTTGAACAATTTTTTAATGGTAAATATGGATTTCTTTCAAAGTTAGACATTTTTTAGTATGTTTAAATTAATACTCTGGAATTGCTCATGTATTAGTTTTAATGTCCTGTTCAAAATGATTATGAAAAATGAAATCAACTCTTTATCTTGTAGGGTGTTGAATGGTATAAGTATGAGTAATGTTGTAAAAAACTCTTAAATTATGTAAATGTGGATAAGTTAAATAATATATATTGATGAACTTATAAGTTATAATGTTCATGTCTTTAAGGTTTTTTGGTTAATATAGTGTCAAATCCAATTATGTGATTCTCTTTACTTAGCCTATAAACAAGATTCTCTTATATTTGCAATCCCTCAATCCTAATCCTAACAATTGACATGATAATAAATGATTCAACAATTTAGATGATATACAATAATTCCAAAAGCCAATAAATTTTTTAGCTGTATGTTAGGAATCTCAGATCGAGTAGAATTGCAAACTATATGTGATATTTAAGTCATGAGACTCTCCCAACTAATACAGTAATATTTTGGGTTGAACTCTCCTCATGTACTTAAACCCTAATAGTGTATTTATGATTTTGAATGATGAGAAATGGTAAGAGAAAACTTCAGAGTCTTTTAAGTTCTCACAAATGCATTTGGTCACCTTTAAGCCTTCTATTTTCCTTATTTCCCCTAAAAAACTCAACATGTAAATAGACACATTTGCGAGTTGAGTTTTAATGCAGAAAGAAGAAAAAAGAAAAGGCACGAAAATCTACTTATAAATGTATTTCATAATTTTGAAATCTTCCCCTTCCATGATAATTATAAATGTCTTTTGATTTTTTACTTCTATAAACGTCTTTCACAAATCAACTGGTTAACGACACTTGAGGTAAAAGCTTGTTTTGATTTTTTGCTATTATCATAATCATATGGTACGATTTTGGGCAAATAGATCTGAAGCACATCTTTGTTGGAGCAGTGTTGGCCCAAGTGCCCATGACAGATTGTACACTATTCATTGTGCTAAATCTAGCAGTGCCTTTTGTATATCTATTAAGGCCCAATCATTGTTTAGCTAAACACTTTTCATCACTTCAACAATTTCTATTGTAATATATGGACTAGGTCTCTCACATTTCCTATCCCAAACTAATTAGATATTGTTGCATAAATAAAATAAAGTCCATTGGTTTGGTGTATGTGGGCGAGTTATAGGTAATATAAATGGCAGTTATGTTCCTATAAGTAAGTACTGCTAGTCAAGAATAATTATACAAGTGTGACACTTGATAATAGCTTGTGCTTTACCGGTGAGGTTGAGCATGCAATAAATATAGTATTTGTAACAAACTTTCATATAGTTTTCAATTATTTTCTACAACATCTTCCACTCGTACTCGTCGTCGAGTTGGCCAATTTTATTGATAGACTAGAATATTTGCTAAAATATTCTTATAATTATATATGTATCTTTTCTATTCAATACCTTCATGATCTATTTTAAGCAAATCATTAATGTATAGTTAATAGATTTTTATATTGGACACACATTATCATTGTATATATATGGTTCCAAATTAATGATAAATGACAAGAAAAACAATTTCTTTTATGGTATCTGAGCACCTCAAATTTACGGTTCTCTATTTTTCCCTCTTTATTGTCTAATTTTTACAAAAAAATCATATATAACTCAATGTTCCTCTCCACCCAATGCATATTTCATGTTATTTGGTTAAAAAAATCGTTATAAATATCAGTTTTTTATCATAATATAGAACATAAAAAATTAATTTAATTTCTTTAATTTGATCACTAGGTGAGCAATATTATCTAACATATATATGTTAGTGCAACATTTAAATAAAATTAATTTGATATCTAACTACAATTAGTGTCACCATTTCATGTCTATTGCAAATAAAAATAATTTCTTCATCGTTAAGGATGACAATTAAGAAGATGACACTCTTTAAGGAAACCAAAAAAATACGATAAAAAAGTCTCACACATTTCAGCAACACAGCCACACTGGTATACAATCATGTCTATCTTTGTGTTTTTACCTTCCCCTCTTTCTCCCAAATAACACACCAAATCATTACATTAACAAATTATATCACACACACTCATTGAAGTTTACATGTATGTACGCCAAATTGTTCACCCTAATCATATACTTCCTGAGAAAATAATTGTGAATGACTCAATTATTTAAATTTTAAATTTTAAAAAGATTAACAATTCCACAAATCGAATAAGCTCATTTGCAAATAAAAATATTAGTACAAAATACTACATTTGACACTTATAATATGCAGACTTAGGGATGATAATGAGTCTAGATGAGTTCGGGTAGTGAATTATCCTGACCCGCCTCGTTGCTTCATTTTTGGACCCAGACCCGTGCTAATACCCACTGGGTATACTATTCGCGGGTCCTTGGGTTCCCAACGGATCCATGAGTACCCATAAATTAAAAAATAATTGCAAGTAATTTATGCACTTGTGTATTTGTTTCTTACGATCTTATATATTATTTAGACGATCAACAAGATAAAAAAATTATAAACTTAATTTAAAGTTTTAAACACAACTTTTACTCAAACAAACATTAAAAACAATTTCAACATTATGATGAAAAATTGATTTAGTAAGAACTTTTCAATTAACGTAATATTATATCATACAAATGAATTAGCTAGATAATATTATTGCTTAACAACATAACATCACACTTTAACAACACAACAATCACATTTATGAACTAATATGATATTATAATTATAGTTTAATATGATATTACAATATAGATTAACATGATATTACAATTATGTTGCTATATATATAGATA